CGGCACTGCCCCCGCGCCTCGCTCAGCCAGTGAGCGGGAACCGGTCTGTATGTGGGATCCGAACCCTCGGCGGGAGCGCTGCCACGCTTCCCAAGCAGCACACTATAGCAGTGCGCCACCAGGCCGGCCCCCACATTCCTACAACTTTAAGACAACACCTAAATTATACGTCTATGAAATTCTCCCATGTAAAAAAAAGTGCTGAAAAAGAGGACTTTGTAATCTCCCTTGATAGGCAGAGTGGAAAGACTATTAATTTGGGGGTCATAGATCTCTTTGAAAAACTAATGAAGATGGTTCCAGTTATCTCTATTCCTTCCTGCAATGCCACCAAAATAACAGCAAAGGAATTTCTCTTAAGCATAAAACAACAAGCAAAGAGAACAGAGAGAAGGGAACAGCAAATAAGAAATGACAACAAAACGTCAGAAGCTGGCAAGAAGATGGATGTGGGTGATTAAATTAGCAGACCAGGTTAATCTGAAAACCTTATCCGGGAATGGGGCTTGCCACCACTTAAATGGAGGCACTAAGTGTACTGAAAGCAGGGGTACAGGGCTAGAACTTCCTATAGGAGTGTTTTTGAGCCCCATTAAGACACACTGACAGGTAATTCCCTCCCCCCAAGAATTGACCAAATCTGGAGTGACTGAATTAGAAAGGATCTGGACTAGGAAATGCCAGGCACAGCTGAGGGGAGGACTGGACAGAAAACAGGAGGATAAAGTCAAAATGGAGCCTATTAAACAGGATGACCCTCAGCCCCTCTGGGCCCTCAGCCTCCTTCAATGGTTAGGCTCCAAGAACACTGGCAGCTTGACTTTGGGCTCAAATACAGGGGACTTAATGGCTTTCGCCTTAGGAAAGCGACGTGGTCCAAGTGAAAAGACCTGTATTAGATAATGACATTTGAGGTTTCACTTGAAGAAACTGCTGAGTCCCTGGCCCAACCATTGTAGACAAGCCTGATAACATGCCCTGAGCTTCCAATCGGCTCTGTAGTGCCTCCCTCTTACATACAAATGGTTAGCCAAGGATCACCAGACATTCAAGGAAAGCCTGTAGAATGAAAAGACAGGCATTAAAAAAAAAAAAAAGAAAGAAAGAAAGAAAAGAAAAAAGTACTGTAGGCAGGTGGGAGAACAGAAACTATGCAGCAAACAGAATTTTTTAAAACTATAATATCCTTAGGAAAAACAAGAGAAGCTATTACATCAATAAAACGAGGACAGAATTCTATTTTAAAAAATCAAAAAATGAAAAACAACTCTTACGAATTAAAAATATGATAGGAAATTTTTAAATCCAGTAGAAAAGTTAGAAGATACCCTTGAGGAAATCTCCAAACAGAAAAACACAAAAAACAACAGATAGGAGGTAAAAGAAAATGAGGGGATTGACCAAGAGAGGTCCAATACTTGCCAAATAAGAGTTCCAGGGGAGAAAAAATGAGAAAAATGGCATGGCGAAACATACTAATAAAATAATATTTAAAAATCACAGGAAAAAAAGACATGAGTTTTCAGATTGATTAAAAGGCACACCAAGAGCTCAAGAAAATAGGGTGAAAAAAGCCCAAGACAGAGCACATTATTCTGACAGGTAAGAACACAAGGGGTAAAGAGGACAACCTTAGAAGCTTTCAAAGGAAAAAAGAAAAAACAGGACCTATACAAAGGCTTGTGAATCAGAATGGCATCAGACTTTACCCAATAACACTAAAACCTACAAGACAAAGTAATATACCCTTAAAATTCTAAAAGAGAATTATTTCCCAGAAAAACTATCAAGTATGAGAAAAGAATAAAAACATTTTCAGAACACGCAAAACTGTGAAAAAATAAATATTATGCATCATATTTCAGCAAACTACCGAAGAATCAACACAAGAGAAAAACAGAAGAGAAGAAACATGGGATCCAGGAAAGTAAGAATCCAATGCAGAAGAAAGCTAATAAGACTATTCAGTCATTAACTCCAGGGAAAACAGCAGCAGCAGCAACAAAACTGCACAAGAGAAAACATAAACATAATATATTGCATGGCTTAGATGTAAATACTTACATAGTTACGATAAGTAAGCACTGATTATCTATTTAACCAAAACTAGAATACAACTATATAGAGAGGGTGAAAGAAGATGTGACAGGGTGGGGGAAAGAGTGAGAGGGGGACTAAATCTTCATCTTCCACAGCTGGAAGTCAACATGCAATGTAAAAAATAGAATTTAAGGGCCGGCCCGGTGGCGCACTGGATGGTGCGCCGCTTGGGAGGCGCATTACAAGAACTACTTATGTATCAGAGGGTTTGTTTCTACTCCAACAATTGAGGCAATTAAGAAAATGCGACACAGTAAATTTATAAATGTAGTTTTAAATGTTTAAGGGATTTGATTAAATTAATAAATGGCATTAATCAAAGATCCTAAAAGCAAATGTTAATACTCGCCATATTTCAAGAGAGAACAAAACGATTTTATAAGTTGGACTTAGAAACTTTGAGAATATTTATTTTTAAAAAGTAACTTGTGGGGGCCGGCCCAGTGGCTCACTGGATAGT